GCCGCCGTCCAAGCCCATAGGCCACATACACCGCATCCCACCGGACGAACAGGAGGACATTGTAACCGTTTTGAGATTCATAGCAGCAGGCAAACGGGCGAGATTTTCTACACCACCGAAAACGAATATCAGTATGGGAGGGGGAGACTGCAGTGTCGCCGGGGGCGACAACTACTACACGGCCGGGACCCTTGGCTGCATGCTCCATGGAAAGCGGCCATGTCATTCAACACAGCAGAACGAAGCCCTGCATGCAGCAAGACAAACGAAACCCCATCCCATCAGCCCGTGATCGCGGACGAGCAACTCAAGCTCGAGCTTCGCTTTGCTACTGCTTCTTTCTCTCTCACCAACGAACCAGTCGCCGGTCGTGGCCCCCGTTGACGCCTGCGTAATCCTCTCGAAGTCGCCGTCCGTAAGCACCTGGACAGTCGCCCCCGGGATGGTCGGCTCCTCTTCTCCCTCCGCCCCCCCCATCCCGTCCTCGTCGGCGTCCATCTTTGGCTCTTGGGGAATCTCGGCGGCGGCGGCGGCGGCGCCATCTACTACCCCGGCAGTCACGAAGGAACCCTTGATTGGCGGCCGGATGATCGGGTCAAAAAACATCCCCATGTTGTGATGGGGTGTTAGAGGAGGGAGCGTCAAATTCCTGTTTGTTTCCCCACTGATAATATAAGGAGCTAGAGTTGACGCAAAACTCATGAGGATTCCTGAAGTGCGACCCAAAGCCAAGTCATCTGCCCGTCAGGATGGCAGAACACAGAGGGTGGACATATGTTCCTGCTGAAGAGGTCAGAGGCCCCATGGAGTAAAAGGATCTAACGTCAAATCGACACAAGTACGGTGCAACGTTTTTTCCTTGGACCCGGTGAACAGCAGCAGTCAAACCGAACAAAACGCGTTTCCGCAACTGGGTTCGCTTGGCACTACCCGGCTCAAATCAGATCGTTTTCACGTGCGAGCAATCGATACTTCGAATCAAGGAATTAATGCACATAAAAAGAGCGATGAAGACATTGGAATGCTATCAAGTAGGTGGGTTGCCGGGAAGCGCGAAAGTCGAGGCTGCATAATAAGGGAATAAGAGCGAAGGAGCATCTGTCGGTATGTTCCTGACTTGCTGTCGTCTGCTATGTTGGCCTCAATTTTCGAGATGATGCTCTCGATTGCATCGCGATTTCTGCTTTTGAACTCTGGCGATTGCATTGCGTTAGCACCAAAATAATCCACAAAATACTTCTTTCAGTCCCAGAGTTTGGCTTAAACCACGCGAAACACAAAGAAAGCGGAGTATGACGGCAGCAGCAGCATTCGAACTTGAGCAGTCAAACACACATGCATCCTCCAAACAACGGCACAACACAAGAGACCAAGAGATCGTGGGCGTATTAACAGAGATGCTGAGGCAGGTCGACCGCAGTTGCTGGCACACGCCAGGGCTCAAATTGCTGCGGCAACGGTAATTTGGTTTAGTGTCTCGCTTGGAAACCTCTCTGTCTGATTACGAAGTGTACACCCAACGCCTTTTCAACTAATAATAGAGGCAAAGGAATCCAAACACGTGTACATGAAACTCTTGCCATCACCCCCATGGGAAAGTGAAACGATCACCCTGTGCAGGATGCCCGAAACTGACATCCCGCCGGGAAACCTTGTCCGGAATACGAAGCATGGCATCTACAGAAGCTCGAGGGTACCCACTAAGCACAACAGCCTGGTATAACTCAAGCAACTGCATCGACTGAATCGTAACGAACAAGCGTATTTGTACCCGCTGGAAGGTCAGGCTATTGGTCTCGGAGCGAAGACGACGCTTTGCGGCGTCCTACATGGGCCAAGACCGTGCAGGTGGCATGCATGTAGATGTCCACCACAGCTCCAATGCTCTGCATCAGAACCAGTGGCGGTGCCGACAATGACGGCGTTGGAAACGTCAGGTCGAGATCTTTCCGAACACGCATCATTTGATGTTGGTATCCCCGTTTGTCCGTAGAGTGATCGGGCGTAACGTAGAAAATCGGTGCAGGGGGGTGTGTTATCTTCTGCAACCTACCGTACACTGGAGTCTGCTGCGTACCAAAGAACAAACGGGATTCGTTTCTGCTTTGGCAACACACGTCCACTGCCTAAAGTTGCCAAAAGCAGCGAGCATTCGTTCGCGGCAGAAGTTTTACCCCCGGTATCTATTTCCATATCTACTGCAGATATTGATATTTGCAAGTTGAGGTTCTCTCCAAACTTCGTTGACCAATGAGCAACAGACGCGCAGCGTACGTCTTCAAAGCGGATTATTCACGCGCGCAACGAACAACCTCGTATCATGAAGCAAGCATCGCCCGTGTGGCACACTATAGCCACTGCTGTAGCAACAGCTATCCAACTCCAACTCTCGAGCAATGACTGGCGGCTACCATGCTTGCAGAACGGAACAAACGGCAGCATAATACTACAACGAAGGAAAACGGCTCTCTCCACAGACTGCTGCGTGCGCAGGGTGCAAAGCCGCAGACCAAAATTCCAGTCACCTCACCTTGGGGGAGATGAGACCTATCGAGAGCACCAGCAGCCCCAACGCGGCTATTACACAGCGCATGATCTTCCTCCCGACGACCTTCATGTTTGCCTCCGCTTGCATGGAGTGTGCGGTGCGAGCGTGTTGAATGGTCTTGCGGTCGTGCACACAGCTGCACAGCGGCGGGTGGATCTGCTATGTCGTAGGGGCTCCGCGAAATGCTAAACATTCCTGTATATCATCCGCGCACCCCCTGTTTGGTGTGTTGTGATTTACCACCAGCAGCATGTGTGACATACACCCCGTTTAGCTGCTGCAGGAGAGGCGGCTGCCACACACGACGAGCCAGCTGCACTTGGATATCACCATGTTAAAGTATGTGGTGGGAAGGGCCGTTCGTTCGCCGTCCGGCTGGTCCGGGGCGTCTTCGGCGAGGGCACGAGTTGCTGCGGGCGGACGGCCGATCGGCAGAAAAGCAAGCTCAAGCACGAGCTCCACCACACCACCTGCAGCAGGAGCTGCGCCCTCTCATGGCGGGGGAGGATCTCGGAGCCGAGGTGCTTACAAGGTGACAACAAGAGAAGCATAAGCTTGATGTTGTTTGGAGCAGGGGCCAATGAACCGGGCGCGTAGCCGAAGGTGAAAAGTTGCACATGTTGCTCCGTACACACGACGTGCCTGCTGCTGTTGTTGCGGAGTATTGTTGTGGAAAAGCGGCTGGCCTGCTCGTGGCATGTAGACCGGTACCAGCAGAAGAAGTGCAGCTAGGGCGGGCATCGACCAATGCACGCATGACGGCCCCCTGCCGGGTCTTGGTTTTCTCATTGTGTGTTGAACTTGCCGTAGCTGCTGTATCCATCGTGGAATAGTGGGATGTGCGTCATCCTCTCTTTCATATGCATATCCAAATCAAAGAACATCGGAGGCAACCGTGTGTGTGCCTGCCGTTGAATTGTTAGGCACGATATTCCCCTCTTCTCCGGTGTGATTGCTTCAGTGCATTGCGGAGACATACGTGTATGCATACCAGTTTTCTTGTTCCCAAAGTGCGAAAAAATTGAAAATGGCTTCGAACTTGAACTTACAAAGCATGTTTGCAGCAGGTGTCCCATTTCAGACCCCGTCGTACGGGCTGTATATCTACCTTTGCGTGGACAAAAAGAAGAGGGAGGGGGCACGCAGACCCTATCCCTAACCCCAACCCTAACCTCAAATCACGGATGGAATTATTTATCCCGTATGTTTGCTTACTCAATTTTGCTGGGTAGACTACCGATTTGCGTACACAACAGTACCTCGTTTAACGCACAGAAGCGACCCGGTTGTTCTCAAACAGATCAGATTGTTTCTGTAAGCAGTCTAGGCGTGTCGGGCTTCTTTTCCTCCCCTGAAGGTGTGTACGAGTAAAGGGCTTAACCCCCAACAACTGCACACGAACAGGGCCTGAGGGAACTCGGAAATACTCCATTCGATGACCACTTCTGTGTCCCAAGTCATACGTAGGCACCAAAGAGTACGTACAGAGTATTAACCATGGAGCAAGCACGACTCTTAGGAGCATGGCAAGCACAATCGCGCCCGATGTTCACATGCGATAGTTGCCATTCGTGAGCACATCGTCCATGTTTGCTTCTCCTTGAGCGCACATCGCTGTGACGACCAACAATACATGAACAACCACCTGAACCCGTCACCCCTTGCGGTCTTCGAAATCGTGTGAGATCCCGCACCACATGATGTACGTACACACAGTCTTGCTGTTGATTGACGATGCGAAGCTGGGCGCGTTGCAACGTTGCTGCTGTTGTGCCCACCTCGATGTAGAAATCTGGCATGAACAATGCATCCACAGGCATTCTCTCAACCTTGAACCCAACGATACACCCTCGTGTTCTGGGGAAACCGTTTGTTTGATGCTGATGAGAAGCAAAGCGGGTCCTCTCTACTGCGGTTGCCTTCAGGTTGACCTATTGTGTTAAATCAGCGGCAGCGCAGTAGTACGCGTTGCAGGTGTGTTACGGTTAGGGCCCATTCGAAGTACTATATAGTAGTTGTTTCCATACCCCCCAACACAATTTTGAACAAAGGAACCCCTCTGCGTCCTGTGTCCACATTTCTGTCCACATTTCTGTCAGGTGATTGTCTAATTTTTGTCGAATATTATTTTTTCTTTTTTTCTCCACGCTCTCTCGACGTCGCACACCCCCACCAGGGGGTGTTTTTGCTCTCAAAATGCTTGCAAACTTCTCGCTTCAAAAATCGCTACAGTAGCAACGGTTATATGGGAAGGATACCTGGAATACTGACTTTTATCTTCTGTGCGCTTCCTGACGGTGTTGCTCGTTGACCCCCGCAGGCCTTCTTCTTCGCCGGTACCGGATTCGCAGCCGGAGCGGCGTTCGCACACCTGCGCCCGGACAAGGCAAGTTGATGTTTTCGCCGTAAAGGGTATTTTTTTCGTCGAAAGTATTTTATAGCCAGTTGTACCATGTGCATTGCTTTGGACACGTACGCTGCTGCTGGCATTGCTGCTTGGCTCGTACTTTATTGCTACTATTGCTGCCGCTGCGGGCATTGCTCGTTGCGCGGGCCCGATGAACTGTTATTTTTGTGGTTTGTGGCCGAGCACCCCTCTTTCCGTTGCTTGACTTCTTGTGAAGCACGGACTTCTTCGTTTGTAAAATGAAATATCTTGTATCACGGTGAATGTGGTGTGTGTTTTGCATTCGCCTAGTCGTGTTATGTAACATAGTTTCTGTTTCTCCCTCTACTCTCCGTGATCCCGTTTCGCTGGTCTCTGGCCACGCCCCCTTCGTCGTGTCTCCGATGCCGGTCCCAAAAAAACAAACCTTACTCAGGCGCGCTCCGGCTACGCCACGCTCTGCGACTCCGTCGCGATGCCTCTGCTGCGAATGCTGGACGCCGAGGAGGCACACACGATCGCGGTCAAGGCGGCGTCTCTCGGACTTGCACCCAAGGCAAAACGCGTGCTTCCAACCCTGTGGTTACCGAGATTTGTTTTTCTCCCACTCTTTGTGAACCCAACATATCCCCTTCGGCTGTGGTTGTTACGCTTGAACGGGTTTTATTTCTTTATTTTATGAATATTTTTCTCGTAAAATACTCTTCCCGTTGTTGAGGGGCATGGCACAAAAATAGGGTCGAACCTTGGTGATTTTTTTGTTGCTAAGAAAGGCGTCCTTAAGCCGGGGACGTGACCTTAACGTTGATGCCCCTCCTTACCTTGTACATTCTGCGAGCCACCATGCCTGTGAAAAAAAGGTGCCCTTAACCGACGAGTTTCCTTGATTTGGTGTCTGAGCGAGGCACGACTGTATGTATAATCTTGGTCTTTCCCGATACCACGTTTAGGAGAAAAATAAATCCGCCGTCTAAAACTTTTGACATGCCCATCAATAGTTCTCTTTGTCTTATCCGATAAGAGAACAAAAAATCCACCGAAGATACGCTTTCTTTCATGCTAACCGTGCCCTACAGGACTGGACGATGGATGACCCAATCCTGGCGTCCCACGTGATGGGCCTGCGGTTCCCGAACCCCATCGGGCTGGCGGCGGGTTTCGACAAGCACGGGGAGGCGGTGGACGGTCTCATGGACACGGGGTTCGGGTTCGTTGAGGTCGGGAGCGTGACGCCCAACCCCCAGGAGGGAAACCCCAAGCCCAGGATGTTCAGGTGCGCGTGGGTGTGTGTTGGAATTTTCTTACAGCAGCAGCGGGAACAACAAAATGTGGAAGTGAAACACCTATGTGGTAGAGTGATTTTGTCGAGGCATGGGAGCTATGCGCCGTCGGCTGGCGGCTAGCTCTACCGTGGTCCTTTTTTTTTTTCAAGATCGACAAACTGATCTTTACTGTCGGGCCCATCACTCGGACCCCCTGAGCAACGAAGAGCGTGCGCGCGCATGAGAGCCTGCTTTGCATTCCTCCGCAGAATGATCAGATTCCCCTAAGCCCCTTGGGTTCAACTTGCACTACAGAGGGATATTCGTTGTGTCCGCGACACGTCGGGTCGCCCCAGTACCTTTTCCACAGTGGACACGAATTGTACGCAAGTTTGTGTAGCTCCGAGCGTACTACGCTTTTCACGTAGCAATCATTCTATATAATTCCACCGACCCCATTTTTTCTACCCGAGGTGTTTTTTGGGTCTACAACAACGCTGCATGAGTGTGTCACTTCTTTCTGATTTTCCTCTCATTCTTCGTAGATTGTTGCGATTCCTCATTTGGTAGATTGTTGTGATTCCTCCTCATTTCCTGGATTGTTGTGATTCCTCATTCCGTCGTAGGTTGTTGTGATTCCGCATTTCGTAGATTGTTGTGATTTGTCATTTTCGTAGATTGTTGCGATTCCTCATTCTTCGTAGATTGTTGTGATTCCTCCTGCCTTCGACGACAGGGAGGGAGTTAACCGTACAAGTTTTTTTTTTTTGCGACACTGTGTTATTAGTAACGTATGCTGTTGCATTCTCGCATGTACTGAATGCAGGCTGGAGGAAGACGAGGGCGTGATCAACCGCTGCGGCTTCAACAGCGACGGCCTGCGGGTGGTGCAGCAACGCCTCAAGAACCGTCAGGCCTCCGCCATGAACGGCCGTTCCGGGTTGCTAGGCGTCAACGTCGGGAAGAACAAGCTATCTGAGGTGCTAATAAGAACATCCATCTGATTCCTTCTTTTTTTGTTCTTGCGATACAACACACAGAATACCCATCTCTGTTTTTTGTTTTGCCCCATCTAGACTGTGTATTCTGGGCGCAATTCTGTCGAGAAAAAACGTGCGTCCATGTACGCGTTTTGCTTTGTTCTTCCTCTTGTAAGATCTGTTTTCATTCGCATGTTATCTTTAGTGAGTGGTGTTTACTCTCGTTGTGGGTTTCTACTCTGACGCACACACCCTCTCCCAAGCAGAGGCCCTGCAGCAGCAGGAGGATGATGATGAGGGCGAAATTGCGAAACCCCTCGGTGAATGGGGAAAACGCCAACCTTGCGATCGCAGCAGCGATTGGCACCGTGTCGCTTTGAGAGAGAAAGTCACCTTACGGGTTGCGAGTAGGTGTGACTGTCGGGTAAAAACGGAGTGCGGTGCGCTCAGTTCCGTCCTCTTTCCGAGCCTGGGCCGGCGAAAATCCGTCATATCGCTCCGTCCCGGCGTCGTAGGGATGCGAGGTCAACTTCTGGCCCATCCTTAAGGAACGCCGCCTGGGCCGGCGTAACCCCGGCACATAGCTCCGTCCCGGCATTGTTGGGATGCGAAAAGTCTATGGTGTAACGACTACGGCATGCGTTTGCATGAGTCCCCGCCCCCCCCCCCTCCCGCTGTCACGAATCGCCGTCGCCACCGCCAACGGTTATGTTTAGGACTCCTCGGCGGACTTCTGCAAGGGCATCCGCACGCTGGGGTGCTACGCGGACTACCTGGTGGTGAACGTATCGTCTCCCAACACCCCGGGACTGCGGGACCTCCAAGGGGTCAAGGCCATCAGGGCGGTCATTCTGGCGGCGATGGACGCAAGAGATCAGGTGGTCTGACTCTGCGGGTGTTTTTGGCCTGCGACGTGGGCTTTGTTTTCTCTTGTTACTGCTGTTCCCCTCCCTTTTTTCGGTGTGTGTCTTGCGCTGTTCGAGGTTGCATGTTGTCTGTGCTCCCCGTGAATATCTTACTTGTTACCATGGTGGTTTCTTCGTGTTTGGCTCAGGTTGTTGCTGTTTGGTTGATTTTGCAATTTGCTGATTTAGCCCCCCGACCCCGGTGTCGATGTCGATGCGTGTGCTGAAATTATTATTGTGGCAATCGTCCTTAGCTTCCCTCTCTACCTAGGATTCTGAGAGATTGGTTTGGTTTTCTCGGAAGGCGTTTACTGCGTGCACTCTCTTGTATTCGTGACTGTTTTTTGCTTGTTCTCAAGGAGGGTCTGCTATGTTCTTGGGAGGATGCCAACAAGAAAATAAACACCTGCAGTACCATGATCTTCATGCCGCATGGCGTTTTCATAACCATGCGCTTCGGACTATATCTTGATTGAGCAGGCACACGTTCTCGATGACGCAACGCTCTCTTCTGTTTCACACTTGCTCGTGTTTGGCTCTCTCGGTGTTCTGCCTGCTCTTTCAATATACCACGACCAATATATTTGCCGAACGAAGGTCTGTGAGTCCACTGGCAACACGAAGCCCCTGCCGCTGCTGGTCAAAATAGCCCCTGACCTGACTGAGAGGGAGAAGAGGGACATCGCCAATGTCGTCCTTTCCACGAAGGCAAGAAGCTGCTGTAGATTTCGTAGATTTCCCGAAAGGACGAAAGGGAAAATAGAGAGGAAGTTGGCCTGCGCGTTTCATCACTTGACTTGTTCGTATTTTCTTTTGTTGCCCGTGTGTAGGAAGGACAGAAAATTTTGTACATGCAACGACTCGAGGCGCAGATGGTTGTGCATGAACAGGCCCATCTTTTGCGATGATCGTGTTGTGCACTGCTTGGGGATACACGATCGCGAATCATACCCTGGATGCCGAAAAAGGTGCGTCCCAGGCGCAGAACGTGATCCGGCCGATGGCCTTTGTTTTTGCCTCCGAGATTCGACTCGAGCGCCTCTGCCGTGCTTAATAATGACAAGTGATACCTATCTGGCAGCCATGCCCTGACCCCCTCTCCCTCACATTTTTTTTGTTCTGTCCTGGCAGCCATGCCCTGACCCGCGCTCCCTCTCTCTTTTTTTGATCCTGTCCTGGCAGTCACCGTTGTATGCCCTGATCCTCTCCTTTGGTTTGTTCTACGGCTGCAGGTGGACGGACTGATCGTCTCGAACACGACGGTGTCTCGACCGTCGTATCTGCGGAGCGAGAGCAAGGGGGAAGCCGGGGGGCTCAGCGGCAAGCCCTTGACGAAGCTGTCCACGGAGACCATCAGGGATATGTACCGCCTCACCAGAGGGAAGGCAAGTCCAGATTGTATGATTTTGTCGCTCATAACGGCATTGACGTGCCGCCCTTCGCGGAAATAAGGGAACCATTGGGACAAGCACAATAGTATCGGAATAGCCCTTATTTTTTCGAACAGAGTAGTACCTCGTATTTCCGAACAGTGTGTTATTGCGGAAGTGGCTCGTGCGATGACACATGCTCGTGTGACACCAGCACCGCACACACGCCTCACTGGTGTCTTTTTCGTGCCCGTCCTCCTTGATAGGGAATTGGTAGTCCTTCTGTCATGCCCCTCCCGCAACCATGGTGCTATTATAGTGGTCCGACGATCCTCTCCTGTTCATGTTGCCACTCCTCGATGGTTATGTCATGCCTATCTTCTCTGTTTTCTGTGCGACCCTACATATTTTTCAGTAGCACAGGTGCAATCACTGAAAATACTTCTCTATCTGCTTGCGTGTGCATATGCATAGGTCCCTCTGATCGGCGTTGGTGGAGTGGGGACGGGCCAGGATGCCTATGACAAGATCCGCGCTGGGGCTTCTCTTGTCCAGGTGCTGTTCATGAAAAAACGCGAGCTTGACGTTGGTACTCGCATGACTCCCATGCCTAGTCTGCACGGTGAAATTGAAGCTTGAGGTGCTCCACGTCGTAAATGGTGGTGCTTGGTGTTCTGAAAATTTCTTGTGGGTTCGACGAGTACAACACGCTGCTGTGGCCATGTATACCTTCGCTCTCCGTCAGGATAGGATTGTGCTTCGTAAATGCTTTGTTTTGTTTTGCGACACGTGCCCGGGTAACAGGCCGACCAACTACATCCCTTTCCACTACGCGGCCCTGTATACAGGGACCAGGAAGTATTCATGCTTGTAAACCACAACAGCACAGCATGTTTTTGAGCTGTACACGCAGCTCATGTTCTTCTCGCGGCAAACCCGTCTCTCGCGACCAGGTGTACTCCCTCCTCGTCTACAAGGGACCCGGCGCAGTACCGGGCATCAAGGCGGAGCTGGCCGACCTCCTCAAGACGGACGGGTTTACCTCTGTTGCGGAGGCGGTTGGTTCCGACCATCGACCCCCTAGAAAAACGTCTCGAAAGTGAAGGGTGCCCGCGGAAGAGAGAACCCCGGGGTGGGGGGGGGAGGGGGAGTACTAATGTTTTGCATGCCTTGTTTGCATGCCTTGGTTGATATGACCATCGTCCACCATCCTCGAGAGGACGGAACATCATTCCCACGGGGTCGATCACCGATGGTATGTTCTTGCATGCCTTTAAGTTGTTAGAACATCGTCCACCGTCCTCCTCGAGAGGACGAAGTTCTCAGACGACCGATCGCCGATGGTCAGTTGTCCCTTCCTACTTTGCCAAAGCTGTCTCAACAATATTTCCCTATCACGAGGAGGGCATGAGACCGAGGCAGGCAGACAGTGGCGGAGGAGTCTGGGTGAACGGACGGTTAGATTAGTTGCAGCGGGTGCAGAGGAGCGAGGGGAGGGGCGGGGGGGCATGGATCAGAAGCGATATGGTTGGTCTCGTTACATAGCTGCCGCTCACCGTGCGATTATACTAGTGTGGTACCACGTGGGGAATTGTCGTCGCTTGTGTAGAAATAGCGATCTGGTCCCAATGCCAACGAAAAATTGGGGTCTGAAATTTTCCTGGGCGCTTCGATGTCTACCTAGCATTTGCTCGTAGTTCCGGTGGTTTTCCCCCGACTTCGTGCCACTCCGCGTTCGCATCTGTAGAGCGGGGGCACAAGTGTGATGAAGCCTTTCTTTGCAACAGCAGCGTTTTGATTCTTCACTGGATTTCTTGTTCTTGTTTCTTCGGGTTTGTTCGGTTGAACGAGCAACTATGTTATTTTTTTCGGCACGCCGCCCTCCGCTTTGAATCGGTCCTCCAGTCGTGTCGCGTACCGCAGCAGGGCAAAACGCGCAATGTACAGTATTAGCAGTATTAGCCCTCGTGTTTCGTCGCGGGGTTATTTTTCATGTATGTTCGCTTCTTTCATCATTTCGGCTTCCTCTGCTTGTAAATTGACTCCACGAAGCGAAAGTTGCTGAGTTTTTTCCCCCTTTTAAGGTAATATCCGTACGGAAAGGGAAACGTGATGGACAAAGAGTCACAGAAGGTTTTTCGCCTGAACACTACTACCCTCACAACGCACGCTAGTTACTTGAAGCAGCACCCTAAGACAAATAATCTCACCGTTTTTTTCCGCGATATCGAATGCTTCTAGACCCCCCTTCGTTCGCGAGCTGTCGTTCATGTCGACGTGATGTATCGTCGCATGCACGCATGCATGCATGTCTCGGGCACTAGGAGCAACGACTGCGTACGAGGTGCAGGAGGCAACCGACACCTGTATGCATAGGACGATCAATCAGTGATCGGTTCGACCCCCGGGGAGAAGAACATGCATGTGTGTCCCTCCCTCGCGCTGACATGAGTTTTCCCGACAGCAAAAATGAAGACAAAATCGGGCAACCTCTGTTAAGGCCTCGTGGCCGCCGGGGCGGTGTTGTTGTTGTTGTTGTCTTCACATTGAAAACCGTTCCGATCTCTTTCTTCCCAGCACCTTCGTATGTCCCTACTGATCCAATACTCGACGCGGTCTATTCCCGTGGTCACAGGCTAACTTACCCTACAGTTGGCGCCCGCAGTTAAGAAACGCTTAATTCAGGTCCAGCCTCGAATTCTTATTGTGGGCTATAAACAGCGTATGTCGTTCAGTTTCTTATTTTTTCGTGCAGCCAAATCCTGCTGAATTTCTTAAATCGGCAATTTCTTCTTTCATTGCTTGCATACTACACAACGTTCCAAATATACAAATGATTTGCACTGCTTTCCTCGACCCCCGTACTCAACCCCGATTCTCACTACCGACGGCTGCACGTAAGGCCACTCCCTAGAAGCGAAATGTATCCAGCGGCAACACCTCACTATCGCTACAAGGTCCTGTACCCCCCTCATGAGTGAGGGCTGAAACTAAACAAATGCATAAACACCGCATGATGCCTCACCCGCACGCTGACGTGCCAACAACGAAAACTACCCGTCATTATGTTGCAAGCTCAGTGAGACGAACATTGGGGGTTGTCACCCTTTTGCGCCGCCCGCTCCCTTCCTTTGGGTCTACCTCTAGAACCCATGCCCCAATTGCGACGTCTTCATCCGTGCTGCACGACTCCAACGGCATCTTCATGCTACGCGTGCTTTCGTCACAGTGCAGGATGACGCGGTAGTCGTAATCCTACCGCGAAGCGGGGTGAGATCTGCGACTAATTACCCCTCCGAACCAACCCAACCCGAATTTCACAAGAACCCCACGCTTCACTATCGACTGATCGAGGGCCGGTGGTGGAGACGCCTGGAGTCGAAACCCGTCCGGGATGTCCATCTTCAGCGTTTCTTCCTCAGGCGATAATTCGTCATCGTCGTCGAGCTGGGTCAGCGGGTCCCTATCGTTGCCATCGTCTCCTGACAAGGCACAGCGGAGGCATCGCCTATTGTTGTGGCGATTCCCAACGCGGAGACAATATCCCAACACTCATTAATGTGTCAACAAGAGGAGCTTTCTTCCGCAAGGGTAATTCTTCTGTGCTCCGAATGAACGCGAAATACAATATCACTTACCGTCGCTCTCATCATCGCTGGAAGTGGCGTCCTCCGACAGCTGGTCCACGTCAACCTTGCCGGTGTCCCCATCCTCCTTGCCCTCCTCATCAGCGCTGGAGCCACCCTCCACATCCATGAAGGAATATGTGGAAAAGCCCTCGAGGTTGATAATGTCGTCCCCAGAGCCATCCGCCGTCATTCCACATCCGTTTCTCGAACAGACGGAAAACGATTTTGCTCATCTTTATCGATCTCCTCGGTCGCCTGTGCCACCCAACTGGTAAGCAACACGCGACGTTCGGAACACGTCAGTGCTTTGGCCTCCCGCGGCGAAATTGATGTTCGTGATCTCCTCCGTGCTGCCGTCCCCACGCGTACGCACCACCTGCACAGAAATGGGGGAGGGAGGGCATCGGAGGGCGGTGGTATTGTTCATTCCTGCTCGAGTTTATTATTTGTT